TTACAGATTCAAAATTAAATTGCAAAATGTTGTTTTGTAATTTTTATTTTTTTTCCAAAAATCTGGACGTTTCCGGTAAAAACTTAACACGCCGTCATAAACTGCATGTGTAGGATAAGGTATTTTATTTTATACAATTTAAAACGTATTTACTATGTACAATTTTGAAGTGACGTCATGAAATTTTTGGGAGGGGATGGTTAGACAAATTTTGGTTATCGTTTTACCATCCACATTCGATTACAATACTTCCTTCGCTTACGCTCGGGAAGTAAAAAAATAAATGTCAACTTGTTTGAATTACCGTCATAAAACAAATTATAAAAATGTGTACAATCACAGATGTATACATTTTTATAGAGATCTTTATACAACACAAAATAAACTCGGAACTTCCTTCTCTACAAAAACAAGTGTGTATTTTTAGCTTAACATTGGATACAATGCACTGATTTGTGGTTTTTAAAAATGAACATAGGGATTGAGTCCATAGTTTGTCCATAACAAATTAAATTAATAAAAATGATTTTTAAATCATTTAAAAATAATTTTAAAAAAATCTTGTGGGCAATGCTTTCTGTTCATTTGAGGAGTTCCACTATTAGCTTTTCCATTTGACTCATTTCTGAGGTATTATTAGTATTATTACTGTAATTAGTGTGTGGAATGTTACACTTATAATTTCTTTTTAAATTAAAAGTATTGCATTACCATAAATTATTAATATTAAAAATTATTAATAGTATTATTATTTGAAGACCCATCATTGTCCCGAAAATGACAGCAATCGGGCAAGACTTGTATCATTACGGGTACCAAAACCAAGTATTGATTAGAGTATTAAAAACTTTCGAGATCCTAGAATTAAGTACTTATTGGCGCATCATTTGAAAAGTGACCTACACTACTCTGACCTACTAGTGCTAACCTTTTCTGATTGACATAATCAGTCTGTTCGAGAAACAAACAAACAATACGACCTGTGCCTAAGAAAACAACCTTTTGACAATTACTGAATCATCTAATTGGAAAGATTTCAAATTCTCAACTAAACAACTATTTGGAATTACACCTACATTGAAACTTCCTGAAGATCTGAAGATTTAGTACTACCTACATTTATATCGATAAATAAATGTAGATATTTTGAAATTTTGGTGTGATATATATTTGATTGTGTTGTGGGTGTGGTAGGAACAGCCATGTCAATAAAAATGGCTTCATTAGTATGTTTCTTTACAAGTATGATATCTGATCTGTACCTGTAATGTTTTTGTTTATAAGTATTGTGCGATCCCAGTAGAATTTGCTTATATTCGGTGTTTTTAAGGACTGCTGCAGATATGTAATAGGGTGTCGTATCTTGGATTTCTCAACACTAAACCTCATTCCAGTGTTATCGGAAAACTGTTCTGTTAGATGTACGATATTAGTTTTGTTAACTGATTCTTCATATTAACGTATTATTATTATATAAATGGTTTGAAAATCAACGCTTACTCTGATGCAACAAATAATTAGCACTATAATAGTTTTCCAGGAATTACTATCAATTTTCTTCCAAAAGAAATGGTATATATTTCTATAATCACATTTATCTTACGTTTTGGGATGCGGGTATCAAATTGCTTAATTCTGTTCATTTGATTTTTATGTCTATATCGATTTTTATTAGACAGATAATATCCCATTGTCGACAAATCTTATATGTCTGTTAGGAATCTTATTTTTATGTAGATGATTAATATTATGATTATTATTAAATTATTATGCAATAAGAATGGAGCAGAGGCAAAGCCTGTGATGCTCTCCTAATACAATTTGTGTGAAAATAAAAATCATATACAAGTACCTAGATACATTACAAAATTAAATATACAAAGCAAAATTAATTACTAATGAACTAAAAAAAAATGACAATTACCATCAAAACAAAATTAATTACATTTAGGTTACACTATGTCTAAACCAACTTTATGTATTGAGTCTAATCTGTTCTTATAACTGTTAATAGAGGGAGCAGATATCACTTCTAGAGGCAATGAGTTCCAGGAATGGAAGATTTTATTTGTAAAGAAGAATTGACGTTGTTTGGTCCTGAACCTTTCTTTCGCCAGTTTTAAGAGGTGTCCACGTAGTCGGTTATCTTGATTTAACACAAAAAAATGTTGCGTCTTCTGGTCAAAGAAACCACTTAGAGCTTTATAGGCGAAAATCAGATCTCCACGGAGACGACGTTGATTCAAAGTTGGGAGATGTAATAATTTAAGTCGTTCCTGATAATAATTACGAATGGATGGTTACATTAGACAATTAGCGAAATTACGTTCCGTACAACGTATTTTACGTTAACGTACATAATCGCCAATAAAGACACCGCATTTTCTATGTTTCCATAGATATAACAGTTTTTTCTACGTTTTGCGTGCTGTACGTTCTATGGAACGTGGTTTCGCTAATTGTCTATTATTCTTGTAGCTCTACGCTAAACTGTTTCAATTATTAGTTTGTTATCTCTTATAAGCATCGGTGACCAGATCCCGGCAGCGTGTTCGAGCAGTGGACGAATATATGATTTAAACCGGAATGGGACTATTTGGCGCGACCGACTTGGCGCGGCCAACTTGGCGCGGCCAACTTGGCGCGGCCAACTTGGCGCGGCCGACTTGGCGCGAGCCATTTTGGCGCAAAGCCAACTTGACGCAAGGACACTTTGGCGCAAGCCATCTTGGCGCGAGCCATCTTGGCGCGAGTACGTCGGTATATAATATAAACAATATTTATTGTTTGTACTGTGGTTGGCACCCTGTTATTTATGCTAAGTGTAGGCAACCAAATACACAGTTTCATTCGCACAAATTCCAATAACTAAATGATCCACAGAGCAAGAAGTTCCACGTTTAGGAGTATGTTCATAATGGGGTGCAGGGCGCGAAGCGCCCGTGTGTCCATTAAAAAGTCGACATTACCCCTCCACGCGTTGGAGACTATAAAAATTAGGTTATGCTAACAACGGGTGCAATTTTTATATATTTATATCTATTTTTCCTGGTGCGAGTTCATTCGCGCCAAGATGGCCCGCGCCAAGTTGGCTTGCGCCAAAGTGTTCCTGCCCCAAGTTGGCTTTGCGACAAAATGTCTCCCGTTAAGTCGGCCGCGCCGAATTGTCCTAGATCGGATTTAAACAGATAACAGAAAGACTGGAAATCTAGGTTGCGAAAAGCCTTGGAGAACAGGAAAATTGATCTGTTAGTTCGCTTCACTATCTCACCGACATGTTGAGACCAGGATAGGGAAGGTGTGATGGTGATACCAAGATCAGAGTGGTATTCAACAACTTTTAACTGTTGGTTGGCAATGTTAAGCGTGAGTAAAGGATTGTTGGTTCCTAAGTGCATTAAGACATATTTATCCAGATTTAATGGGATTAGCCAATTTTGATATCATTCTTTCACAGAGTGCAGATCCAATTGTAGGGAGTTGTGATCAGTTAGCGGATTGGCATAGATTTTGTAATAATCAGCATAGTGATCCGATCTAATCTGCAAGCTAAGATCAGCAATATAGGACGAAAATAACGCGGGGCCTAAAACTGATCCTTGCGGAACTCCTGAGCACACGCAACGCTGAGTAGAAACACAAGAGCGTACGGAAAAAGTTCTACCGGTTAAAAACGCAACGATCCATTTTAATAAACGACTTCGGATTATTCTAATTCATAGAATAATCTATGGTCCGGGACGCGATCGAAAGCTTTAGCAAAGTCCAAGTAGATAATGTCAACAGGACTGCCTTCATCAAGGGATAAGGACCACTGATTAAAACACTGAAGAAGACAGGTCACTTTGATTTGTGAGGTAAAAATCCATGTTGGGTAGAGGGTATAACGTTATTTTCCAGTAAAAAATTTAACAAATATTTCACAATTATTCTTTCCATAATTTTTACGCACACAGAGGTCAAGCTGATGGGACTATAATTGGCTGCTTCTGTTTTTTTTCCTTTCTTAAAGATTACTGTGACATGAGCAATAGATGAGGCACTAAATTCAAATAATGAACTACATGTACAAAGCAGTGAATAGAGTGGCAATACATTTCTCTCCAAAGAAGTATATATATTTTGTAATCATTGTTGAATAACTTTTTGCACTAAATTTTGGTCATATGAGCAAACAAGAACACTGTTTTGAAGATAAAATTCAATAATCGGTGCAATAATCTTTATCGCGGAACGACGTGGAGTCGCCTAGTGTCAATTCGCTTAAGAATCATGTCGACTCTTTTTTCTCCAAATACTTATTTTTCTTAGTTATAGTACTGGTTTTGTAATTTTTATATATTTTTTTCCATTGCCGTTTTTTCGTTAAGTTATACAGTTTATAGTACCGAGGTCCTCACTGTATCTTTATTACTTAATAATAATAATATAAATAATTCTTTATAGTGTATGTACCTACTCATATTTTTACATAAACAATATCTAACGACTATATGTTTATTATTTTAATTGTATAATGCTGGTTGTTCTATATGTATAAGATTTCACATGGAGCGTTGTTGTGAGAAGGGTTCAAAGTATCGAAAACACAAAGATCTAACAAACATTGTAAAATATTTCATATAAATGACATAATTTGATGGATATCTGATCTATATTAATTTGAACGTTTATGCCAAAGAAACTTGTTATGTTATTGAAATAGGTAAACCAAAATTCATAAAAAAAATGTGAGTATTAAATAATGGTCTGGTTATTATGAGAGTACTGTAAACCATTTTCTAATGAATCTTAAGCATCTTAAATATCATATTCAATGAAGAACTCTGAGTTTAATTCTTCATAGTTTAAAACTTGAAAATATTCACCTATATGTTTTGAAATGGAGAAAAAAAATCCAAGTAGACAACCAAAACTCACAATTCAACCTAGCGATAACGAAAAAGTGAAGAATATTTGAATTCAAAAATGTAAAGGAATTTAATGTTGTTATCACTTACGAAAAAAACTAAATCCTCAGTCAGTGGGCCATGTATGACAAGCTTTTCCTTCTTTGGTTCCGGATGACTATAAACACCCTCGATTTCTCCAAACTTTTTGTCACCATTAAGCTCTTCTCGACTGCAAGTATTACAAATTTGAGCCAGGTGACTTGTATTATTTCATGAACTTACTGGTTGCCGTTCAAAAAAAATCTGCTTCCGCTGACATCACTAATAGCAATTGTATTCATGGATGGCGCCAACTCTTCAATAAGGACGTTCCTGCTACCCACAGGTATAGTAGCTACTTTGACGTAATCTAAATATTGTCATAACACAATAGTCAGTGAAATAATTTAAGGCAGGTTTAAAATTATTTATAAAAACCTTTATTTCAAAATAGTTACATACCTCTTCCCCGTTCATTATAGACTTTTTCTACAACTTTGCATTGAGTACCATCACCATTACAAACCCCACAAATATCTTCAACAGCATTAGAATCAATCTCCCCGTCACAGCCTACTTTCTGTAATAATAAGAATGCACCAAAGAGATAATTAAGAAAATACTAACCTTGCAGACTCCAGAAATACACATGTTTTTTGTGCCAGGTTTACATCGTGTTCCGTCTTTGGTTCTAGGTTCTAATTTAGCAAAAGTACGTTCTTGGTTAATACAGTACAAAACACAAGGTTCATCTAGAAATAAAGAATATTAAATAGTGTTTCATTGTTATGAGCGCAATAATCCAAAGTTAAACAACTAACAACCACTGGCGATTCGTGATTGTAAGTTAAGCTGGACACACAATTAAAATTATTTATATTTATATGTTATATTTGCTCATCATATTATAGAATTACCTTCAAAAACTAAAGAATTTCTTAAATTCTTAAAGAATTTTCAAGTCTATTAGCTGCTGTATGAGTCTATTATCTACTTATCATGTCTTATTGCTATTAGTATACTATCTTTGATGATTCGCATTATTTAGTTTCTCGAAAGTTTATTATTAATGTTACAGTATTCAAACCGATTACTGTGAATCCGAAGTAAATTCTTGGTTGTTTTAACTCTGGAAAGTTTTCGAACATCAGTTGGTTAAATTAGAAAATTAATTGAAATAATGTTTTTAATGTCGAGATAGTAGTTAACGCCCTCAGGGCCGGTTTATCAATGCTCAGTTAAAAGTGTCTGTTAAGTAACTGTCAGATAAGGGTAACTAGCAGTTAACGGAGGTGAAGTGTTTATCAATGCACGATGTTTCTTCCAGTTGCGTAGCTCGAAGTTTAGCTGTTACTCTCTTAAGTTGGTAACGCTCACACCACTGGAAATGAGTTGTGATTGGTCAGTTCAAAACTATCCCGACCTTGAAAGTTCCATCAGATTCGATCCGCATTCGGTATTCAACGATTGTATATCGCGTTTCACGTGATCAATCATGAAAAACCAAAATTTCGCATTAGAAAAAAAGTTTTGGAAATTAAAAATGAAACAAGTAGGTACACCTATAAATAAATACAGAGAGATCGAAAAAGAAATTAGTCAAAGTTGGCCATGCACGAAAAGGCGTTTGTCTTATTTTAAAATAATTTTTTATTAATCGTCACGTTGACAAAAATAATTTGCACTGTTATCAAACGAAATTAAAGCTTTTTTGTTATTAGAATCTTCAGAAATGCGATAAATTTTAGACAAAATTGGAAAACGGTGATTTTAATTCATTCTTATGTGTTTTAAAAGTAGGCGTCATAATTCTAATTTTAAACTGTCAATTTGACATTTAATAAAAAAAATTAAATTACCCTACCACCGTGATTACGACAAACGGCTTGTTGTGCATGGCCTACTTAGATTAATTTCTTTTTCGATCTCGCGGTATTATTAGATAGGTTTTTAATTTTTGGTACCTACATTAGACCTGGAAAATAATCAGCTAATAATAAGTGTTTTTCTCATCTTTTCTGTGTCAATTTGTTGCACAACATAAGTCCTCATCAAAATATTGTTAAATTCATAACAGATTTATTTGGATTTGTTAGGTTATGTTGCCACTAACTGGTGGATAACGCTTTAACTCACAGTTTGAACGGTCAGTTAATTTATCAGGCACTTTGACCACCAGTTTTGAGCTAGCGGGTAATGATAGACAGATTAACTCACAGACAAGCTTTAACTGCCAGTTACTTTAACTTAACTGCGCATTGATAAACCGGCCCTGAGTCTATCTTTATTTGTTAAAAAGGTTTTTATTCTTTTCCATGTAGGAAAACACCTTTAATTTTTCAGAATTGTTATAGGAAGATGTAGTAAGCTTTTAAAAGTTTTACTGATTCAGGGAACATGCTATTTTTAACCTTTGTTAATTTTTTATTCACTGTTTCAAACTTTTAATGCAAGAATAGAAGGGCGAGCAAAAGATGTATGTAGTGGTAATTCAGTTTAAATTGTCACATATACATATTATTATCCAAGTGTCGCCTTTTAGACCAAGTTGGTCCTTCTTCAATCTTAAAATCTTCATCAGTTAAGGCGCGCTTTGACTCTTGTGAGGCGTGCAATAGGTTTTCAAAATGTAAGTAATACCCATTATTAACAGACCTATTGAAATTTAACCTGACTTTTCCACAACTTTCACTACATAACACAAGGGCAGTTTTATTAAAAATTAGCTTATCATAATTTTTTCATTTTTATGAAATTTTTGCAAAACGTGTCTTTAAAAACTACTCCTCTAATAGGTATCTCAATTATTTGTGAAAATTTCATAACGCGCTTTTTGACCACGATTTTCAACTTACAAAACTCTAAAAATTACAAGAGAAATATTTTCGACTTTTTGTGTCGTAAAAACTGCAGTGTACTGGTGGGTTTAGCATTCTATCAGATTGCCCGCTTTCTTCACAGACTTCAAAAGGCTTGCATCTAACAAATTACCCAATATCACCTCCTATACAGGGTATTTTTGAAATAGATGGAAACTTTTTTTAAGGTAATTGGTCATGACGTAGAGAATTTATGCATCAAATATTGATCTAATAAAAATCCTTTAGTTTTCGAGATAAAATTGATTGAAAATCTGTTAAAATTTGCGTGTGCGCTACTGATTCCAAAAATGTTAAAGGTAAATTTGATCACTATAGTAATTTAAAGTAGGTAAAATTGTTGCTTGTTAACATGACAATACATTCATTAGCCCATCATTTTTTGACGTTTTTTCAATTTTTTGGAAGAACAAAATGAATTTTTCTAATTCTGAAATGACTGACATGGTTCTGATGTATGGACAAGCCTTAAGAAACTCCTTGGAAGCTCGACTTTTAGACCAAGAAGCATTTTCCGAACGAAGATTGCCAAATCATAAAACATTTGCTAACGTTGTTCAGCGTCTACGAGGAAATGGGAAATTTCAACCTCGTTTTAGTGATCGTGGTCGTGAAAGGACAGAACGGACACTTGATGCCGAAGAAGAAATTTTGAATGTCGTTGAAAACGATCCAGGTATAAGCATTAGACGATTGTCTTACCGAGTGGGAGTTTCACCTTTTGTGGTGTGGGGAACTCCACATGAACAAGGCAACAATCATTGATTAGACGTGCGGAAGCGTGTATACGAAATGGTGGTGGACATTTTGAAAACTTGCTCTAGTTGCATACGTTACGTTTTGTTTCATTTTATGGTTGATTAAATTATGATTTTGAAGTTTTAATTGTCAGTTCATTAATTATTGTCATTGTTTATTTGTTGCTAGCAATAAATTAATAGCAACAGTAGTTACACCTCGGCAGTTTTCAGTTACTAGGTTTCACATTTTTTCGTGAAACCATTATTTATCAGTGGAGGAATGAATGTTTGGATAGGGGTTAAATTTTCCTTTCAAAATTTTACTAAAACAACAAACGTTCATTTGACTTCTTAGGTTCCCTATATTCACCAGATTTTTTGTTTCCATGTATTTCAATAACACCCTGTATTATAGACTGGAGCATATGGAATTCCTCAGGACGCGGAAAAACCCATGAGCCGCAGGCAGTGGCGAAGCTTTACTAGTACTTACTGCTTAAGGATGGTGGTTGTTCCTACAACGATGCCTTAGGTCTTAAGGCGGGAAAGGCGGAAGCCACGAGAAGCTCAGGAGAATTTCATGACAGATAAGCTATCCTAAGTTTGACATATATGAAGCATTTTATCAACGGCCCACTTGTGTCAAGTCTTCCATAACTGCCTGCAGTGCTTATTCTTTCAATAATTGGATTCTGCATTTCGTTTTTAATATACACTTCGCCGCAAAATTAACGCATAAGTTGCAAAGATTAACAATTTGGAAGAATTTTTTTTCTATGTATTGTGAGTAAGATATAAATTAAACATCCTATGCAGTAATTACGAAAAATAACTTTTATTTGAAATTGAAACAAAGAAAACTAACTCCGGAACAAAACTTAATACCTGTTTATCTGTAAAACGACAGTCACGACCATATTTTCCATTCAGTCATGGGTGGTGCCACCTCTGGCCTTGATAACGGCTGGACCTCTTGGTCAGATGTTTACAATGTCTATTCAAATTTCGTTTTGGTCACAATTATCCCAAAGTTCTACCAACCTGTTTCCTACTTATTTTAGTGTTTGGTGCAGATGTGAAGCTCTTAAATGCCTTCCTGAGAAGTCCCACACATGTTCTCTCGGATTTAAGTCCGAACTCTTTGCAGGCCCTACCATAGTTGTAATATTGACCTCTTCAATGTAGTCGCAGACAGTTCCAGCCATATGCGGACGAGCATTACCGTGCATAAGAAGAAATTGTTCGCCTATAAATGGGGCATAAGGTACAACATGTGGTTCCAATAGCCTTGTAACGTATGCATTAAATGCTCATCCAGTTGTAACAACAAGTTCTGTACGCGCCTCCAATGATATGACATCCCAGACAATCAGGGATCTTCCACAAGGTCTCTCACTTGGGCGTCTGTACACCTTTACTCGACGATTATACTATTGTTCACCAGAAAAAATCTGGATTCATCGCTCAATAAAACACGACTCCAAGAGGCGATGTCCCAATCAACTGTTCTCTAGCAAAATCGAGTCAGCCCCTTCGACATGCAGGTGTCAGAAACGGTCCTCTTCTAAAAACTGAGTTTGTAAGGTGGTGATTGAAACGAATTTCGTTTTGAGCACTTGTAATCGTAAAAAACGGTCTTGATTGGCTGTTCTTGCTCTTCTACGGCTTGTTCTGGTTCTCGACTATCTTCCTGTCTCTCTGTGCCGGTTTAGTATACGGAAAACCGTGGAGGTTTACTCCTAGGCGCGGGGCTACAAATGTTTGACTTTGTCCCTCACCACCAAGGGTAACCGCTGCTATCGCGTTATGTTCTGAGATTTACACTCTCTGATGGTTTATTTTGTAAAGTTATTCAGAATCAATTTCAATGAACCATAAACATCGCGAAAAATACATGAACGTTTTCCGGTTTGGAACCGTGTTAATTGAGTTTTTGGGCTCAACGTTTCACACACTTTCGTAAGTGGCATCTTCAGGAGCAGGGTTAAGAACAAGGCAAAAGAGCACGGTAACTCAGTATGTCAACTCTACTGTATTGATTCCGACCGTGGAAGCCTCCAAAATTATAGCGAAAAATTATCGAATGTTTAGCCAATTAAACTGTAGAGAATACGATAATAGTTATTTTTGTAT